TTGTCGACTTTCCTTAGAAGCAGAAGAGACTTATAGTCACATTCTATGTGACTGCCTAGACTTGATATGGGCCAGAAGGAGGTCACTAGGTCGAGAACTACCCTCCTCTTCTGACATTAGGAGGACCTGAACGGCCGACATTCTAACCTTCATTCGAAGGCGGAATGTCTTCTGTTCGGTTAGGGCCTGTTTAGCGTAAAAGATTGAAATATCCCAATTTTATTTTATTACAAATTGTATTTATCTAAAACTAATTTCAATTATAATGCAATAATATTATACAATAATAGAAACTGATTTATATATAAGACATGTATATAAATACTTATTAAGCCGTGTTTGTGTGACTTTCTTTGAGGCACATTGTTTCTCTTCACATCTGTAAGAGTAGGAGTTTATATCCAATATATACGTAAGAGGATTAGGATGATTTAAGAATCTTTGATTTAATGATTTTCAATAATTTTGAATGTTTGTTTGTCAGATAAGGTGGACTGTTTATTATAGTTTTTGATTTTTTAATTTTTACATTGAAATCTTTGCAAAAATTTTTCATTAAATATTACTACAAGTTTGTTGGGTGTGAAACTGTATCTTTCTTTAAAAAGTCATTTTTCATGCAAAAGTGAAAACATATGACAATTATTGGCATTACCGTAAAAAAATTTTGTTACTATAACATTTAAAATATAGATATGTGGTACTAGTTAGATCAACATATATGCATTTTTATTGAAATTTACTGAATAATTGACTAATTCTATAACTTAAAATTCTTCTTTGAAAAATTCATTCAACTATGCAACAATGCATGTTGAATATTTTGAGTATCTGTTGCAGACATGGTTCTAGTTATTTTGTAATATAAACTTACTTTTTGATTCAAACTTTAAAGAAATGGTTTGAATGGTTTGAAGAACTCAGTTTGAATGGCAAGTTATCATGAAAGTATTACTCAAAGAACTGAAATGTTTCAGATAAACGCCTTTCACTGTAAACTGAATGCTCACTTACATTTATTCAAATTATTGATTTTCAACGAAAATTTCAAAGGATCAATTTAAATATGTGTGTATTCAATTATTTTACACATCATTTCACAAAAATTTTATTACTTTGCATTGCACCACATATTGCAGTTTGCCGTTTGCAGTTTGCAGTTTGCAGTACATGCACAATATATTCCAACCAACCAATAAAAATGTACAATAACATAAATTTCCTGTAAAAGTACCACTAAACACATCCTGTTTATGCATCGGTAAGCGCACACAAAATAATTTGGTATCATAACAATTTGGTCACAAATGCTAGCATATCTCATATTTGCATACGAAATTATTTCCATTTCCTCTTTTTCCAGTTTGATTGAGCAACGAGATCGTGACCGCCTTTTGGATATAGTATTAGGTGCCTGTAAGAATTATTTGCGTTTCAATTTGGAATCCGCTTTTGCTGAACGTATGGAGGATATGTCAGCAAAATTGACGGATAACGATTTAAGAAATTTATTCTATGGTAATTACATCGAACCAGATGCAAATCCTCGCATATATGATGAAGTTGAAAACTACAATAAATTGGAGAAGCTAATGACGTACTATTTGCATGAGTATAATGACTTTTCAAGCACACCAATGGATTTAGTACTCTTCCGTTTTGCTATTGAACACATATCAAGGTATTATAAAACTAAAAAAATTTAAAAACATTTTTAAAATAATGTCTCAAATGTCCTAGAGTGTCTCGTGTTTTGCAAATGCCGCGTGGTAATATTTTGATGGTTGGTATGGGTGGTTCTGGTAGGCGCAGTTCCTGTAGACTTGCTTCAAGTATTGCTGAGTGCAAATTAATGACTGTACAAGTCACAAAAACTTATACGCAACAAGACTGGAGAGATGACTTAAAGAAAATTTTAATGACTTCTAGTTTCAATCGAAATCATACTGTTTTTCTATTTTCGGATGCACAGGTAAATATTTAAATAACTTACTTATATATATATATATAAATTTTTTTGTGAAGAAACAGCTGCATGGATTATAATCTGTATATAGGGTTTATTATAATCTGTATATATCATGTATATAGGGTATTTTTTAAGAAGTTTAGAATAGAATGCAAAGAAACACAAACTCAATAAACGAGATATATATTTTGAAATATAATTTAATGGCATATAAAGAAAACAGATTTCGCCAATTAGTTATTACAAAAACATCTTAGGCACTTCATGTTGGAGACCCAGTTGTGCGTAAATCTTCGGAATATTTAATACTTCATTCTATGAATAACGCGCTCAATATTTTTTTCTAAAACAGGAATTTATGTTGACTTATCCACGTCGACCACTCGCTTCCTATACTTTCCCAAAAAAATGTAAACAGCAGTAAATCTCACGATATTAAACGCCAAGTAACAACTACATTATTGGAAATTCAAACCTGTCGTATAATAAATCTTAAAAATTAAACAAGTAGCACAACAGTGTTAAGAGCAAAAATCATCCAAAAAGATATTCCCGATATATTAAAAAATAAATCATTTATCATGGTACTTTTCCGTATGGCACTGATATTGGCAAACTGATTTCTTTTTTATAAAATTATTTCGTCCTAATTTTGCATTCATTACCATTAATACTTCCGCAAAAAATTTTTTTCTGGCAGTAAATCATCCGATCTATGCTAAGTAGATATGAAGGGAGCACAATAGACCCGATGGTCGCAGTTTCACATTTCCTTTTAATAATAAATAAATAGTAAACAATTCATTTCTGAACACAGAAATTCAGAGTGATTAAAAGTGAAAGCTTAACACCATTGGGTTCCTAATATAAGTATTAAAATACTGCGCCGTTAAACAACCAATTAGAACTCCATGAATTCCACCAGTACTAATTGAAGCTATATATTACTATATACTTTCGGCTGCCAAAAGTGAAACTCACTCATTTTCCTACTAATAATATTCCAAACAGTAATGGGATGGTGTCCTCAGAGTCTGACCACTTCACACACACCCATGCATTCCATTATACTCATGTCACAAATTACTGCAATTAAGATAAAACCACACGATGATTGTTAACCTGTACAGCCCCATATTTATCAATTCTTGCCAGATTTTATGATTTTTAAAGACAATATAGTTATCGTGCACACGTTTTAATAACGATTTATCAACTAACTTATAACACCTAGCACAGTCTCGTTTAAATCAAAATTGGTCCAGAGAACATTCACTAATATAATAAAAATTAATCATTGGTCAAGTCACTGGTACAGGCGACACTTTTGATTGTCTTCATTTTTAATAATGTATGGTTTAGCAATGTTCCTAGCCCATAAACACCACCAAACAGTATATTTTTTAAGGTACACCAGTAGCCAATGGATCGCGTTTGAATATTCTTTACTCTAATTGGTAATTTTTGTTAACATATCTGTTGAAAAACAAAGATTTACCAAAAGTGAAACTTATAGCACTATAGTGTTATGTAAAACTTTTTTACTGAACATTTATTTGGGATGCTTATATATATAATTTGTACATCCTCCTTGAGTGATATCTCGACATAAATGTTAATAGAATTATAATGGAAGCTGATAGATTAGTTATCAAGGAGTTAAGTGCCATTTTATATAAAATAATATGTACTAAAAATAAGCACCGACGAATTATGTTTTATAAGAATTATGTTTTCTTCGCCAAAAATCACTCAATAAATAAACTGCTTAAGTTCTATTAGCACATTGATTTCGTGCCATATTAATTAATTCACTTATTTTATTAACTCATTAGTCTGAAATTAAATTATAAGCATTCAATATTATTAATGTTTATTATGAATCTGTCAATTCGTATGATAATAAATGAAGTTATCAATGAATTTTCCCAAATGGGTTGATGCTGTCGATTTTTGTTAGAAAATTCTTGACTTTTCTGACCTAATTTGGGCAAATTTGCTATAAGGAATATGATATGAATGAATATTAGTAATACTATTAACATAACACACAAGTAAATTTAATTAAACACCTACTTTGGACTACCACAAAATAACAAGAGAATCAAGTCCTACATGTGTAAGTTCCCTTCACGAACAAATTTTCATTGTTTATTTAAGGAAGTCATAATTAAGTTTCTTTCATTGGCATTTACTACAGTTACTATACAACACTATGATTGCAAATATCAGATATGCACGTATATACAACCTAATAAACTTAATAATCTATTCACATACGTATATTTTAAGCGTACATTTAAAGAGCGTACCCTTACAATACTAATATTATTAAATTTATTGACAATAACGAATTTAAGGCTCCAATTTAATTTATGGAACAATATAAATTAATTTTACACTGCATTTCATATGCAAATAAATTAAGCAAAGGAAATAATTTATAACTTTTGAGAACTTATTGTAAATAAACATGTAGACAAGATGTTAACAAGATATTTCAATCGAGTTACATATAATGCATCATGCATATGCATAAGAATATGACCAGGCTACAGATATACGTACAAAGAGGAGCGATGATTGTGCTTCCATTTAAAAGCAATTTAGCAATTAACAAATAAATTTTATGCAAATATTAAAAATTATAATGAATTTGTCCTTTCCGGAGTGTAGCTCAAGTCTACAGTTAACTTTAGCTTTGCCTTCAGCAGTCAATAATAATAATTAATTTTATCAGTGAACTAACTTATAGAATTTCTTTGATTATACATCCTGCCCAAATAATATTACACTGTTGCACATAACACCTGTGTATTACAGACTAGATGTGAATTCAAGTACAAAGATATGTTACTGTGTCGTTTGTTTGATATCTGGAAGGGGACAAATGTACTTATTATGGATTAGTATTCTACGATGTTCATGCACAAGTGACCGATATGCATATTAGCATCATACAAGTAAGCCATCTAAGGCTTGTATTTGCGCACATATACATCATTTCATACATCATTTCAGTTTTAATTTGATTTTAATTAATTTTACTCACTAAATTTTGCAAATGTTCCATTTAATGTTTATTGTATTAGTACACAGGCAACACCTACTATATGAGCTGGTTAAGAAAACCATTTCCATTTATTGCAGTTAAACATCATACACAGATGCAATTCTTAGTTCTAAAGGCTCTCATTATCAGGACTTCTTAATAATTAATTCAAATTCCAATATATGGAAACTTCTCAATATTATTGATATACGTATGAATTGAATACATTACTGCGATATATAAAATAATAATTAAATTATTGAACTGACGGATGTTGTAGCACATAAATCCTAACTTTGGACATAATAAATTGATACCTGTGACATGCAATTAGATTTATGTTATTTTTAATATTGGTAATGCATCCTTTGATGCAGTCTTATACAATGATACTATCATCCAATATGTGCATATTTGTTACATTGATCCATTGATACGATTATATAGAATAGAATATATAGAATAGTTTTGGCGAAGATGTCAAGACGATAATGTTATTCACACACAAATAAAGTTGTCAGGTTGTGTAGTTCAAAATTTTTATCAATATTTAATTTATTTATAATAATTTAAATGAAAAGATATAAAGAAATATAAATTAATTAATTATTTTATCTAAATATTAAATAATATCTCCATGGGCTATACTTTGCAAAAAATTAAAGCAACTTATGGAAATGATAATTTATAAATTACTTCTTTTGTTTTCAGTAGTATACATTGACTTATTTATTTTAAATAATTTATTAAAATATAAACATTACATCAAGAGAGAAAAAAAGATAGAAGCTAACTACCTGAATATTAACTGGTTAAAGTTTAGAAGTCTGCACTTCAAATGATAAATACTGCATTAATTCCTGTTGACTTTTATTTTCAATCTTTTATAGTTTTATATGTACTAAAACCTAAACGTTTCTAATTATTAAACTAATACAAATCCATACATAAGAGGTCTGTCAATTAATGAAAACAGAAAAAAAATTCTTCATTAAAGCTAAAAATTGTATAAAAAACAAGATAATACCATCCGTCATATACTTTTGTACAAGTGCGAGAAGTTGTTATTTGTAACTTTTTAAAAACATGTATAGATCTCTAAACCTCGAAGATAATACCTTTATAATGTAAAATGTCGAAATGAATAAACCAAATTATTATCTTTTTTTTCACTGTCCTCCATAAGCTTAATACACTACAGTTAAATAAATCATTTAATGAAAGCAAATTGATATCATGGCAAGAGAAAGACCATGGCATCGATGACTGAAGCCAGTAGAAAGGAATTAAGTGTCATAATCAGCGATTGCTTTTAATACTGATAAGTGAACAATGTTTGTATTGTTTGCTGGAGGCGTGTTTAAAAAATTTTCGAAAAATTTGACGTGTAATGGCAAGTGACAACATCGCCCGTTGACAGCGGACGATGCTGTGTAATGGGCCTTTAAATCATGGTCACAAAGCCTTAGTATATCGTTAAATAACAATACCCAAACACAATGATGGCTAATCACTGGATATTAGCACCGTGGAATATGTTATATATGTAAAATTTTACTTAACCCTACTATTTTCTATATTGATGGCTAAAACAAGTACTTATCCACAAAATGTAGATAAATAAATAAATAAAAAAAAAACTTAAAAAAAAATTCAATAAAAAATAATTCAATAAAAATAATAAATAATTAATAAATAATTAAATAGTTATATATTACTGATTTCACCGTTTCTTAAGTGGTTTTCAATAATTTTAAGCCATATTATTTTTATTGATAACTATATTCCTATATTCTTAGCACAATCAGTCTTGCTATTTTTCTGAACTCAACTACTCTGTTAGGTATTTAAATAAAAGTTATGGACTGAGTTATCTCTTATTACTCTGAATACATTATACCTAATGTGTTATAAATAATTTTATTTTTTATATTTATTGGTAATGCTTTTAAGCAATGCAAAACCATATTGAATATTTATATAATTAAAATTTCTCTAAGCCTTACTGTAAGTAAATTTATATAAATACAATTTAAATAAATAAAACTTCTTTAAACTTATATATTATTTTATTTTTTTAATAACATAAGAAAAGGTTCAGAATCATAAAAATAATTCAATTTATTAAGTTGAGATTTTTATATAAATTACTTATTTCTCTAATACATATTCAGGAGTAATTTATATTTTCTGATTACCTTTGCTTTCTTTAGGCAATTGATGAAGGTTTCATTGAAGATATCAATGGTATATTAAATACAGGTGATCTACCTAATCTATATCAACTTGAAGATAAAGCATCAATAATGGAAAATATGCAAACTATATCCAAACAACAGGTAAGTAGAAGCTACAACCAATTATATTAAATTTTGGCCAATTTGATAAGTAAACTCAATCTTTTATTATAAAAGAGTTATAATAATATTTTTATTTAATTTAAGTTACCAGAATTTTATATGATGCTGCTCTTGTATTTTTTATATTTTTATACAATTTACCCAATTCAACAATTTACTCGTACTAGATATTTATCTCAAGTACTACCACAAACTCATACCTCGTACTAGTAAATTTAATGCAAGTACATTGCACAAATTGCTTGATTGACAGCAAGTTTAAATGCTGATTTACCTTACCGTACCTAACATTATTTTATTTTATTTTATATTATTTTATTTTACTTTTGCTGGCAATATTTTTGTAAAAATAACTTTTCTACTTCATACATTTTATTTTGCACAGGGTAAAGTTATTGATACTGCACCGAGTGAAGTGTACGCATACTTCATTGAAAGGATACGTGAGCAATTGCATGTGGCATTGGCCTTTTCACCAATTGGTGAATCCTTCAAGGAACGTTTAAGAATGTATCCATCACTGATAAACTGTTGCACGATTGATTGGTAAGTATTGCAACAAGCATTTATATTTTAGCAGGAAGCAAGCTGTATTTACAGCTCACTGAATATGTGCTCGAGAAGAAGAAATGTCAAAGTAACTAGATAAGGAAGCATAATGCTCGGAACAAGTTTATACCACATAAATGTTCAAGTACATATATATATATATATATATATATATAAAGCAAATGTTATAAAAAAGTTTTTGCACGTTTACATGTACGAGTGAAACGGGATTTAACCACACTTCAAATTTGACAAATCTTTTAAAGATATTTCATTTCCTTTGTTTTGTAAAAAGTTCTCAAGCGTAGTTAAATTAAGTTTGAAATTTCTTGCAAAATATTTTTTTGAAATATTTACCTTTTCGTAATATTTATAAGTAAAATACATAGTTCGAAATTAATATTGAACTTTATTTAATTAAAATGATCAGAAAATGTTATATTTCATTCATTTTATTTAAACCACTACAAATTTAAAAAATAATATTTTTAATTAAAATTAGTAATCGATATTGTTCTTTTGAACAATACGCATAATATATTTTAACTAAATTTAATTAATTCGAAAATAAATTTCTAAATAAATGAAAGAAAATTTTCTCTTTCTTTATCTATTTTGTACACTTCAGATTTCAATTTATTTTTGTGATTTTGTATTTCATTGAAATATAAAAACATCTATCAGTAAAAAATAAGTTTAATTTGTGATGAACACATATTCAATGAATATTGACCAAATAATTTCAAATACATCAATCGATAACGGACACTAAACTCTAAACTAATAAGTATTACTAAATTAATATAGTATTTTCAAAACTAAAGTTACACCCATCCACAAAGCGCTAAATCAGCAGGATTAGCGTTTCTACAAGCAACGCAGAAAGGCACGACTCCTCGATTAGATTAAAATGAAACAACCCGACAATTCTACAAACTTCTATAGGACTTCTATAAGTCCTTAATTTAACAGGACTCTGCAGCTCTGTTAGGTAGGTAAGAAGAAGGGCACATTGTATAATGCATTGTATAATCTATATTTTCACGGATAGTCATATTGTTTTCGAATCACTAACAAACATAAAGTTAAAATCTGAATCAGATATATTGACCCGATCATCTCTGAAAGAAGCGATAGAAGTCATATTCAACTTATTTAGTTTTCGAGACACAATGATGTTGCTGGATATTGTAGAAATAATTAACTGGACGAACATTATAACTCGAATTCGCATTACACAGTAATATATAAGTTTACATAAACATGTATTTTGGGTAGCAGCACCATATTTCTAATTATTTTGTACTAGCTATAATACACTTTGAATTAGTTTCCTAAATCCCCCCAATATATGACAAATTATAACCGTTTATGCTAGAATAATCATTTAACTTTCATTATTTACTTGCCCTCTTATACAAATCATAATAGGAAACACAAACTTACTACATACCAAGTCAACTGGGGCCATATATCACAAAAGAACAAACTGCCAATCTCCTGATGTCGGTCTGTAGATCTTTTCCTTGTAGGTATGCAAGCGATTAGGTTAGATGGCTCTAATAAAGGTTTCTTTCAAGATGAGAGCTTGTAAGAAACGATTTAGGACTTTTTATATTATTAAACGGGCTTTTACGCATAACTCCTTGAAAAGTAAAAACTAGGTACAATTGACTTAAAAAGAATGTTAACGTTCGCATTGGAAACTAAATAAAGGTGGTCAAAAAAAGTCATAAACAGACTTATGTGAGTGAATCCTAGTACCATTATTACCAGAACTTCCATTATAAAACTAATAATAATAAGTAGTCAATATGGTTGTGTATAACCAACGTATGGCTCGTAAAGTAATTATGCAACGGATTATCTATAAGGCAACATATCTGCATTTTACTATTCAAAATAATAAATTTCAAGACTGATTTATACAAACCATGTTATTAAATATAAACCAACATTTTTTTAAGTTCTAACTTTTCTAAAAACCAAGAGAAAAAACTATTAATGCTTTTATTATAGGTATATGCCATGGCCACCAGATGCTTTAGAACGAGTTGCTGAACATTTTGTTTCCTCACTGAAGCTAGGTCAGGAAATGGAAGCTGATGATGAAGAGGATGCCGAAAGAGCATCAACCAAAACTACAGACCACGAAGAACAAGTTCAAGAAGTTGTTGAATTAAGTGATCTTGAAAAACATTTAGTTAAGGCAGTGATAATTTTTAATCAATCAGTATGCGATGCTAGCGAAAAGTAAGTATCACAATAGAAAAATTTAAATAGAAATGATTTT